CTTGTAAAATAATCTTAGAGCTAAACAATTCTTAACGAACTACAAAGGAAATAGCATAGTCAGAAACCCTGGATTCTCAGCCTTCTTTCCCTGTTCCTTTGTGGATGGACCTTGGAAGTTGTGCTTAATTTCTGTAATTCTCAACTTCATCTGCAAAAGGGCATCTATATTTATGAGATTGCGTGATTAATAATAAAGTAACCAACATTTTTAGCACTATATGCCGGGCACTTGTAAATCTCTTTACATAAATTTGTGTAAACACTCAAAGTACTATCCAGCGGTTCTCAACCTGTGGGTCGCTACCCCTTTGGGGGGTCGAACGACCCTTTCACAGGGGTCGCCTAAGACCATCAGAAAACAAAAAGATATTTACATTACGATTCATAACAGTAGCAAAATTACAGTTATAGAGTAGCAACGAAAATAATTTTATGGTTGGGGGTCACCACAACATGAACTGTATTAAGGGGTCGCGGCATTAGGAAGGTTGAGAACCGCTGTATATGCAAATGTGCTCATCAACTAGCCTCTCCCTTCATTTGAAAGACAAGGAACTTAGAGCCCTGGTTAAATGGTTTTTCTTTAATGAACAGGCCAGGATTAGAGCTCAGATATCCTATTAGTCTTTCACCAACTCAAGCTTTCTGATTATATCACCCAAATTTGCAACAGTCTCTGAATTTACGGCACCATCTGTACTTCTTGGAAGTATCACTCCTGGAGACTCAACCCTCAATTCAGAAGCCCAGAAACCATTAGGACTATGGTTAAGGAAAATACAAGAGAAGGAGCTCTAAGGCCTAGTCTTCAATCTCTCAGTAACGCAATGAGTAAACTTAGGTAAGTCACTTGCTTTTCTCCATCTGTAAAATAAAGGAGTTAAAACTGTTATCTCAGCTAAGGTCCCTTCCAAGCCTAAGGCACCGTGATGTTTTTAAATTTCTCAACTGGATGGATGATCAAGGAGACTAACAAAAGCTGGTCTACCTGGGAAAGTGATGGCAACAATTGTTACACCAATCGTATTTTAAAAGATTGATTTTTTTTGTTTTGTTTAGTTGGTTGGTGTTTTGATTTTACATAATGAAGATACTTTACTGATTTTGTTGACTGTAAAATCTGTATGTTACCATTGTTTTAGTTTTAGGGTACCAAAACAAAATACCACAAACTGAATGGTCTAAACAACAGAAATTTATTTTCTTACAATTCTGGAGGCGAGACGTCCTGCAAATAAGGTTATCCACAGGGTTGGTTTCTTCTGACGCCTCTCCCCTTGACTTGTAGATGTCTTCCTTCTCTCTGCCTTTACATGGTCTTCCTCTGTGTTTATCTATGTCCTAATCTCTTCTTATAAGGACATCAATCATACTGGATTAGGGCCTACCCTAATGACCTCATTTTATTTTAATTACGTATTTTGCAATATATAATGCGCACTTTTTTGCCCAAATTTGTGAGGGAAAAATAAGGATGCACATTATACATGGGTAGTAATGATTCCGTATCTATATAAATGTTTTTAATTCTTTTATTTATGCTTATGAGATAAAAGTGTAACTCTAGAAATCAATAATGATATCCGTATGCAAAATAATACCCTGGCATACAATAATCAGACCTTATGACGAACTTATAGCAACGAAGAGTTCTCGGCCTTCTATAATGCATGAATATCGTAAATTTGTTAACGGTACATAAAATTTCTTGTACCTTGTATCTGTTCTTATGTTTTGTAATTATTTGTTAAATAAAATTTCTTGTACCATAATATGTTAAAAATAAATGCTAAAATTCCTTTATAATACAAAAACAAGTATCTAAATGTAAACAAGTAAAAATTTGAATTAAAAAAATTAAAACAAATGGTTTTTTTCCCTGAAAGTTTGAGCCAAAAACGTGGTGTGCATTATACACAGGAGCGCGTTATACATGGCAAAATATGGTACCCCTTCAAAGATTCTATCTCCAAATACAGTCACATTCTGAAGTACTGGGGATTAGGACTTTAACATGAATTTTTTTAAGGGATACAATTCAGCCCATAACACCAGTATAAAACTTTTAGCAAATACTTTTTTAAATTAACACATCCAGCACATTCTTGTATCATTACTAGTACAGGTTCACAATCCTCATCTGAATCCCTTAAATGGATACGTTTTGCAAGTTAAGACATTTTGGGATTTTCAAAAGGCAGTATGGTACAAATACTACATAATTACCTAACCCTCTAAGTGGATTCTGAAGTAGTAACCCATAATCAAATGCATTAATATTTCTTCAAAACATATAAATATTTATACTATAGGGGAAAATAAAGTCTATAAATCACTTCACATCAGTTCTACTCAGCTTTTACTGCTAAATGATTACAGGTCAAATAAAACATGAAAATACTTTCATTTTTAGTGCTTATCAGATTATAGGATTATGGGAGAAGGATTGTTCATCTGTAAGAATTTGAGGGTAAATTATGAAAATATTAAGATTTAAAACATCCACACTCTCTGACACAGCAATTTCACTTTGGGGAATATATCCTAAGGATACGACCTAAAATGCATAAAATGCTTTTGCACAGAAACAGTCATTGCAGTTAATAAACACTGAAAATAATCTGAATGCCCATCATAAGAATAATTAAATAAATTATGATCTAACCAAAGGACTGGATTTTAAGCAGTCACTAAAAATGATGTTTTGCACTGTTGCACACCTGAAACTAATTTTTAATAATTAAAATTAAAAAACAAAACAAAAGCAAACAAAAAAAATGATGTTGATGATCCGAATAGACATTTTTCCAAAGAAGACATACTGATGGTCAACAGGTACATGAATAGATGCTCATCATCAATAATCATCATGGAAATGCAAATTAAAACCACAATGAGATATCACCTCACACCTGTTAGAATGACTATTATAAAAAAAACAAGAAATATCAAGTGTTGGTGAGAATGTGAAGAAAGGGAACCTTCATGCACTATTGGTGGAAATATAAATTGATGCAGCTACTGTGGAAAAAAGTATAGAGGTTCTTTAAAAAAAAAATAAGGGCCGGCCGAGTGGCTCAGTTGGTTAAGAGCTCGCTCAAGAGTGCAAGCTCTGTGCAACAGCGGTTTGATGCCCGGCCCAAGCTGAGCTGCTGCTGAGCTGCCAACAGGTGGCAGGATGGCTCAGCTAAAAAAAATTAAAAAGTTAAAAATAGAATTACCACATGATCTAGCAATTTCATTTCTGGGTATTTATCTGAAGAAAATAAAAACACTAATTCAAAAAGATATATGTGTCCCCATGTTCATTGAAGCATTGTTTACAATAGCCAAGATATGAAGCAACCTACGTGTTCATCAATGGATGAATGGGTAAAGAAAAAAAATTGATAGATATAGATATACGAGTTGTGATCACAAAATATGGTGAATGCTGCTGCTGAGTGCCATCCAATGGAAAGGCAGGGATCTTCAATATGGGAAGTGGCGTGTCAAACCTTATTAACGGTGTGCGACAAGTTTCAACTTGTTCGGTCCAGTCAATTGCATGTGAGCTATGGTTGAGAGAAGGTGTGTTTTAAAGTGTGCCTTAAAATCCTCCATCATGACAATGCTCTGTGTCACTCACTGCTTCTGGTATATGGCAATTTCTGTCAAAAACATATGATGTGTCCTCAATCCACCTTACTCCCAGATCTGGCACTGTGTGACCTCTGGCTCTTCCCCAAAGTCAAAATGATTCAGGACATCGAGGCAACCACAACAATGTAACTAAAGATACTCATGAAAGAGAACTTCCAGAACTGCTTCAGAAAGTGGCAAGAATGGTGGGATAAGTGTGTTCAAAGAGAGGGAGAGTATTTTGAGGAGGATTAATGGCAATATGTCTTACTATAATAATTTTTTTTATTTAAACATTCATCGTATTTGATATATATATATACATATATATATATATATATTAAATGGAATATTATTCGCTCTTATAAAATAATGAAATCTTGTCATTTGCAACAACATGGGTGAACCTTGAGGGCATTATGTTAAGTGAAGTAATTCAGACAGAGAAAGAGAAATACCATATGATCTCACATTTGGAATCTAAAAGAAAAAAATTAGCTTATAGATACGGAGAACAGATTGTTGGGTGCCAGAGGCAGGGGCCAAATGGGTGAAAGAAGTCAGATGGTACAAACTTCCAGTTATAAAATAAATGAGTCATAGGATGTAATGTACAGCATGGTGACTATGTACAGTGATGGATGTTAACTAGACACATTGTGATCATTTTGCAATATATACAAGTACTGAATTATTATATTAAACATCTCAAACTAATATAATTGTTATGTCAATTATACCTCATTAAAAATTTAAATAAAATAACATTGACTCAAATAAATAAATGTAGGGTAACATTGTTTGTTGCACTGTGTATCATGTTTACTTTATATTCTCTTTTTCTTTCTTGCCCAAATAAAAAAAAATGTTGATGAAGAATTTGTAACAAGAGACAGTGCTTATGTTGTAATGTTAAGTGGGAAATGCAGAATATAAAATTCAATATACAATAAAGTCTAAACTATATTAAATGCATAGAAAAAAGACCAGAAAGAAACACACCAAAATATTAATGGTGGCTTGTCAGTCTCTCAATTTCACTTTAGCACAGTATAACCCTTTTTCTACAGTCAGCTCCTGGCCTGTTGCTCCCTCTACTCTCCAACTCTCTCTCTCCCTACATCCTACCTCTTTCTAAGAATTTTCTATTTCATCCCATGGTCTGACCTTGACTAAAAGACTACTGATCAGGGCTCCATTCCTCCTGCATTTCTTCTTTACTCCAAACCAGCCCAGCACTAGCTTCAGGATAGTCTCCCTTTTCTACACATTAGCTCTTATCCACCTTCCCCAAATCCAGAAAGGAGTGTAATGGGGACATAAGATGCATTAATAAGCGATGACCTTGAACAGACAGTTGGAAGATGTTTCAAGTCTTTAACCCACACGACTGAAGAGGGGCCCAGACTGGCCCACTAATGCTGGTGTCTCTGGTGGGCTCATGTGAAGCTGGTGCTGCAAACGTTGAGAAAACTGCAAACTGGATTCACCAAAGAAAGGAACTGCTGCTGTCAGAGTGATACCCAGGGGAGCAGAAAGTGGACTGGAAGACAACAAAAAAGTAACAAGAAGCTGACAGAAAAGAAGCAAGTCCTTCCTCCTGCCTTTCAGTCCTCTCCTGGCGTCCCCTACTGGTAGAGCCACCTGGAGCCAGCTAACAAAGTGGAAATGTCCCAGAGCACAAACCGAGGACTAGCTCCAGCATCACAAAGTTAGTATAGAATAGCGGGTCGGTTTGGGGCTGATAGACAATGACCAAATAACTGCCAGAGGGACTCCTTTGATACTCAGCATCTGCACAAACCCTTCTACACATATTTAAACATCCATATAATAAGAAGACATCTATCTCTCCCTTATTTAGTTACATGCAACTATCCTATGTACAAAGACATTCTCCTCCCCTTAAAGTGAGGAGAAGCCATGCCCCAACACTCATCATGTCCATTTCTGGGAGTCAATCACACCATCCACCTCTATGATATTTTAGTTACTCCTTAAATTATATAACAGTCTTACCGATTTTCTATTACCCAAAGACTAAAGTTTAAAGCTAACCTCTAACAAAGCTTATATTAAGAAGAGGAGGAATAAAAATAAGAAAATAGTTCATATTTACAAAATCCATGCACACACATACACAACAAACAGTAGAGAAAATATATGTAGCTGTATAATCCTCATTCTTGCAGCTGGTCATGAAGCCATAGTTGATATTTAAAACTTGTTTCTGCTAATCATTCTACATTCTGTTTCCTTTTTCCATCAGTAAGCACTTCGTTAGTCTAAGTTTTTACCTACTGAGGTGACCCAAACCTTCATTCCTGAGTGCTCAGTTGTCCTGCCTTGATTGGTTGCTGAAATTTCCATTAACTTTCACTATTGGATACTGAAATACAAAGAGATGCTCTTTGTATTGGGTTGAAGATTGGGTAGCCCTTCCTACCCAAAGTGAATCAGCAACCCAATTTTCCCTTTGTAATCAGGATCAATCTTCCCATCCAATAAAGCAACTCCCTTATTTATCTGTTGGTTCAGTGGTATGAGGAACACTAAATGTCCAACTGGCAGTTTCATTTTCCAATTCAGTAGAAGAACCACCATTGTGGCCCCTCCTGGAAGCATTCCTACCCTGGAAATCAAGACCTTCAGATCAGTAGAGTTTGATGTTATGGGATGAAAAGCAAAAATTCTGCAAGCAGATTTTTAGGTATAATATTGAGAAGAAATATTCCTACTTTCTTAATTCCTATATTTATTCTGGCTGTGGAAAAGACAGCATCACTTATTGGTCTCTGATTCAAAATATATATTGCATTGTGTAAGATAGCACCACATTTGTTCAGGATATTGTCTTCAGAGTGACTGAGTCTTGAGTAAGCCATCCCACTATTCTATTATATTAGGCCAGATGCTTCTGGGTGACGGAGTATACAGTGTGATCAGTGAATTTCATGGCATGAGCCCATGGCTGCATTTCTTTTGCTGTAAAATGAGGTCCTTAATCAGAAGCAATGTTTACAGAATATAATGAAAATGGATGAGGCATTCTATGAGTCCACAAATGGTGGTGGGAGCAGAAGCATCATAGGCAACGAAAGCAAATCCATACCAAAATATGTGTCTATCCCAGTAAAAAGATTTCTGTCCCTTTCCATGAGGGATCTGGTCCAATATAATCAATGAACCAGCAAGTGGCTGGCTTGTTCCTTCGAGGAAGGGTGACAAATAGGAGACCCAGTTTTGGCCTGTGCCCTTGGCTAGTTAGTCACTCAGGAGTCACAGTGTAGCAGGCTACAAGGTCAGCTTTGGTAAGATAATATTGCTGAGCCCATGTAGAGCCTCCACTTCAGAGAACATGGCCACTCTGCACCTGGGTCCATTGAGAAAGCAATAGGGTAGCTGGATCGATGGCTGATGGACAATAAGAGACGTTCATTTTGTCCACCTGATTATTGAAAGCCTCCTCTTCAGACAATGCCTTTTAGTGAGTATTTGCATAGAACACAAATATCTTCACATTCTTCCCATTCTGAGAGGTCCATCCACATATCTCTTTCTTCAGACCTTATTGTATCAATCTTCCAAACTTGACCTCTCTGAGTCCCTGACCATCCAGCCCAAATGTTAGCAAGTGTCCATGAATCACTGCATATCCATACTTCTGATCATATGTCAGTCCAGACAAGGTAGACAATCAAGTGTGTGGCTCCAAACGATGCTTGTTAGGAAAATTTCCCTCCATTAATGGCTTTCAAGGCCACGTCTCATTGGGAATGGAATGATGCAACGATCCACCTCTCCTTGGTGCCAGTATATTATGCAGAACAATTTGTAAACCAGTCCTGGCTTTTTCCTTCTCAATCAACCAATCGTAAGAAGCTCTCTGTAGGGCCATCGATAAGGACTGAGTGAGAGAAAGGGTCACTGTTGTGGGACTATTCATGTAATAAACTGCACAGTTGTAAGGATTTCATCCCCAATTATATATTTAGCAATTTTATAAACTTGCAATACAAAATAGAAATACTGTAGCTACACTTGAACACCTAGTAAAGTCAAATGTATTTTAAGCATTTTTATGTTAATGTTTGACTCAGGAAAACCTATTGCAACATATCTAAAAAAAATTTAAGGACCCAAAGTCTTTATGCCCACAGCACAAACACAGCTGTAATGTCATATTTCTCACTAGTGAAAATAATATTTCCCTGAGACATAATCATGGAAACATGTTTATGGAGAAATTTCAATCTGTTGTCACATGTATCTTCACAGGAAAATGACTGAGCTAGCATCAGTTTTTGCAGTAATATAAATATAACTTCAACAAATCCTTGTAGGATTTCTCGCAGCAAACACATTGCCATTTAAATAATATATTTCATTAGTATATTCTAGAAGAAAACACATCTTACTTCAGTAATATACTTAAGTAACATGTTTTGCATGTTATTTATAACTTGACATTTCTCAGATTAAATATCTTTTTTAATTTTCATATGAATACATTTTGGCAACAAGCAAAACAAAACTGTTTGCTTAACCAATGGTTAAGGGCATTATCAATAGCCAGATTACTTGCACTCAAAATCTGGCTCTGAAACTTATTAGCTCTGCTACCTTGGGCAAACTATGTAACCTGTGCCTCAGCTTTCACATCTATGAAATGGGGATAATAATAGTACTATGGTATTATTTTGAGGGTTAAGAAGTTAGTATATGTGAAGTCCTTAGAACTAATGCTTAGCATTTATAAGTAATATTGAAGACCTAGCTGCATTTCCTGAGGTAGCTCAACAGAATGACTAGAGCCAGACTGACAGTTTCTAATCTCAGCTCTACAGGTTATTAACTGAATAACATTAGACAAGTTGATTAACCTTTTTGTACCTCAGTTTCTTCATCTGTAAAATGGGAATGATAATAATACTTGCCTCATAGAATTATTGTGAACTGATACACATAAAGTACTGTGGCTGGCACACAGTAAGCTTTATACAAATACTTGCTTTTACCAGCAGCTTGCTTACCCTGAATGCTAGAGAGTCTTGAAAGTCCTAACAGCTTAGTGAATTTTCAGGTGGCCCATCCTCCCCAGATCCCACTGAATACTCCTATGGGGCAACCAGGCCAACCACCAGGATTCCTTCTGCCCAGTGTTCCCTGTGGCCTTCCAGGCAACCAGAAGTTTACATATAATTATAATGATTTCTATTTTAGATTAAAACAACAAGGAGAGAGGTATAGTATCAGCCAAAAGTTGTAATATATTTGAGTTGGCTCTGGTTCTACTCGAACTATTTTTTATCTATGTATTTTTTGCATCTAAATATTTATCAAAGTATTTATCATTTAGCTTCTCTGGTCTTCAATTTTTTCACTTGTAAAATGAAAAGATTGTATGCAAAATCACTCATATCACTTCCAGGTATAAAATTCTAAAACTCTAGCATTCTGTCCATGTGATAGATGGTATTTGGTGTGGTGTGGTCTGAGAAAGAGATGAACTCTTAGTTGCTATTTGAATCAAGTCCATAGCTCAAATACCACTCACTGTTGGTGGCAGCTGCCTAAACTGTAGGTTTCTATGAATCCTATAATTTTTTTGTTATTATGGAGAAAAAGGACCAAAATAAATTGGAATGTTTATAATGATATGTATTTCTAAGACTAAACTGCTATAAAACTCTTGAACTACTTTGAAATAACAGAACTTTATAGGTTTCAACGTTTTTAAAATCCTTATAAATCCAAGAATAAATTTTAAGTTTAAATGAGGAATATGTAAAAGTTCTTCACACAGTTAATACATTTTACAAATGCAAGATGAGATCATTTTTTAAAACGTATTGCAGTGACATTGGTTAGTAAAATTATATAGGTTTCAAATGTACAGTTCTATAATACATCATCTATATATCACATTGCGTGTTCACCACCCAGAGTCAGTTCTCCTTCCATCACCATATATTTGACCCCTTTTTACCCTCATCTACCACCCCTCCCCCTTTAACCTCTGGTAACCACTAGATTGTTTCTGTGTCTATGAATTTTTGTTTCTTTGTTTGTCTTGTTCCTTTGTTGCCTTCAGTTTTATATCCCACATATGAATGAAGTCATATGGTTCTTGACTTTTTCTGTCTGACTTATTTCACATAACATGATAATCTCAGGATCCATCTATGTTGTCACAAATGGCAGTATTTCATCTTTTCTTGCCACTGAGTACTATTCCATTGTGTATACATACCACATCTTCTTTATCCAATCGTCTATCGAAGGACACTTTGGTTGTTCCCATGTCTTGTCCACCATGAATAATGCTGCAATGAACATAGGGGTACATATATCTTTACTGATAAATGTTTTCAGATTTTGGATGTAGATAGATACCCCAAAGAGGAATCACTGGGTCGTAACTGTCTAATCTTAACTTATTTTAACCAAAGAGCTTTATAATAATGGAGATGGAAACCTCTGGTTGTTTAGCAAGCATATAGAAGTCATAGATTCTAAACTCACCTCAAAGCATTTCTATGT